TTAACTGATAAGCAATCAATTCTATATTTTTCTATTTTGCACTCAATTTACATTGCAAATATTTAAACAACTTCACCCAAGCCAGTGCTTTTTTATAGGGGCTGATAGTAAAAAATATCAATCTCAGTCACTGCCTTTCACACCTAACCTCGACCCACACGACCCAACATGACCCGAACCCGATACCACTTAGAATGAATAACATAAGGTCTTGCAGAGATTATGTGAGATATATTACAGCACAATTTCAACTGCTATTCTATAATGGTTAGTGAGAGGAACATTTTGATGGGTGAAGAAGACGCTTGGAGGTGGTGTTTTAAATTTCCGTTTATCCCATCGATCTTCATATTTATGCTTAGACATTCCTCTCCTTAAGAACATACATTTAAGGAGAGGAAGGACCATAAGTTTGAGTATTTTGCTTTAACGTCGGAAGGCCTTAGTTTTTGTTGTGATTCATTTTTGTTCCACAGGGTTATAGTTCGTTGATTCTACCCTTTTCTCATAAGGGTAGATATCTTCGAATTTGGGCGAATATCTGGACTTTGCAGTTGGATGCGTCTTATGTGCAAACGCGGTAAGTTCTAATACTTTTTTTTTAATTGAAATTTTACGCTGTTCTGAAAACTGCTCATTGCAGACATTACTATGTTGAAAATAAACAGGGTCATTTACAAAAGTCTGTTCGAATCATGTAATATCATTTGGTTGTTATGAGTTATGCAATCAAGGACATCTTGTGGTAGTACAACTGAATTTATTCTAAAATTAGTTCTTGTATCATTCTTCGAACGTTTAAAGGAAAGTTTACGTAAAATAACCCTCCTAACACTCTGCGATTTAGTTTTATTTTTTAGATTTAAAACAAATAAAATAATTGTTATATTTTAAACTGAATTCATAATTGGACCTGTTAATTGCTTTTTTGTTTTTCATAAATTTTATTTATTTAGATCAACCATTTTTTATAAGAGAAAATTTGTTGTAACAATAGCAGATGGCGAATGCTATTCAACGAAAAATTGCTGTGATGGGTTATCCCTGTGTTGGTTAGTTAATATTCTTTTTTGAATATTGTCAATAGTAGTAGAGAACAAGTAGAGTGATGAAAGGAATCTTCTGAGTACAGAATGCTGAGTTGTATTAAATGATGCAAAGAGTGAAGTGAATTTACTGTCATTATCAATCTAATTAAATGGAAATAATACATCACGCTGCCATTCTAAGACGACGCAAAAAAAAAAAAAAAAAAAAGTGTATGAAATATTTAACAACTGATTTTGAAAACTTGAGATCAAACACAGAGCATGTTCAAATTACTTTTATTACTTTTCATTTATTTTTTAGGGAAATCTTCTATCACGTTACGGTTTGTGTATGGTAATTTTCCTGATGCATATGATACAACTATTGAAGATATTTATACAAAATCTTATAAATTTAATGGGAAGCAGTTTGCTTTGCAAATAACTGATACTGCGGGACAAGTAAGCCTCTGTTGTGTCATCATCGAGTATTTTTGTGAAATCGTTGCTCATCTTGACAAGTGATTTTGAAATTTTCAGACATTCATTTTTGAAACGATTTTTTTAATTTCTTTCAGCAAGAATTCTCATTGTTTCCTCGTAGCTGTGCAATTGACATTGATGGATATATCCTGGTTTATGCGATTGATGATCGAAAGTCGTGAGTTAACAAGGATTCGTTTATTTCACGAGTATTATACATAGTTACTTTCACTCTCGTTTCAGTGAGAGAATACTCTCTTCTCCTTTACTTATATTACTACTTTGATTTGAGCATTACTTTTGTTTGTAGATTCGAAATAGTTCAGTCGATTTACGACAAAATAATGGAAAATCTCGGGGACAAAAAGTGAGTGACAAAATTTTCTAGCGTTTGATTATTGAACTTTTTGGAAACATTTTTTGGTGAAGTCCTGGTCTCAAAAAATTAAACTTTAATTTTCAGTATACCAATTGTGGTTGTGGGAAATAAACTGGATCTGCACTTCAATGCACGTCATGTTTCAACAGAGGAGGGACGGCAGCTGGCTGTTGCTTGGAATGCTGCTTTTTTAGAAACATCAGCGAAAGATAATACAGTAGGTCTCCGATACATTTTTTCTCGGTGTTTTTTTTTCAGAATACATTACAAACCTTTGTTTTTTTTTACCACTTCCTAAATATAATATGAAAAATCCTTTGATTAGTCGAAGAATATTCATCGGACAAAAGATTGCTGGAATTGAAGTAGTGAAATTATGGCACGATCAAAGCATTCTCGTTGTAATTGTTCAGTGCTTATTCTGCGTAACATTATGACGAAAAGAAGGCTAAATATTTACAAGAAATCATTATACTATAGCTCCTTAGTTTCTGAGCTAAACAAAAGCGGAATATAGCATTCTCTTGGAATATAGCCAAAAGTTACTTAAAGCAAAATTTCTACGAGTTGATTCACTATCGGTTTACTAATTTCGGATAATTTTTTACAGTCTGTGGAACAAATCTTTGATTGTTTGCTGCGTGAAATTGAAATTGCCAATGGGAATATGAAACGAAACCGGAATGGTTGTGTACTTTCTTGAAATTAATAAGCCAGAGCAGCTTCTGTGCTAGAATGAGGAAGCTCCTTTTTAACGCTGCCAAAATCAATTTTGCGCTCATTTGTAAATTATTGTAAATATTGATTTTGTCATATTTCTTTTTACTCTATTCTTATCTTTATAAATTTAATTGTTCGAAAAGTTCTGTGAAAATTTGAATTTAATAACTCTGATTCGACGGCCTAGTCGATGCCATCGTGTATATTATGCTCAAAGTGCATTAAAGGAATATGTTAAGTAGTTTGCTGATACAAGTAACAACTTTGTGCTGTTTCACTTTGTTATGTTTGTATTATATTATTTCTTCACTTCATTTTATGTCGAAAATTATAGAAACTTTTTATTGTTGTGCTAAAAGGCGTCTAAGCTAAAATCATCTGAAAAAACTGAAGATAGGTTTTGATATTTTTTATCGAGAATTCGATCTTATATTTTTTTTCAAGTAAATATACTTAGTCGTCCTTATGCAGGCCTTCCTTCTACTCTGAAGTCGTTAATATTTTCGAATAACATGTATGGAATTGCACCACATTGGTGACAGCGGATATCTAAATCGTGGTGGGGTGATTCATTGTGCTGCTGAACATATGTTATGATTTTTGTTTTTTTAAATTAGAATTAGAAGGGCGAATAATGAATAATTTAATGGAAGTTTTTGCACACGTTTCCATCCCAACACTTTCGCAACCAGAGTTGGCTCACCATAATTAGCTTCTCTAAATCCTCCCAAATTTTCTTTTATACTTTGTGGATTAGAAGTATTCATATATTTTTGTCACTGACTGGTATGGAATGTTATTTTCGAAATTTGTCTACTTTCGCGAAATTTCTATTGTAATAGAGATGTAAAGAGATTGTAATAGACCTTTATTCCACTTTTTATTTTTTCATTCCCTGCGTTTTTACCTTTTCCGTGCATTATGAACAGGTTTTCTTATTATTGGTAACCATGATACTACTACGATATATTTAATGTCCTGTTTGCTTTTTTAGTAACTGCAAAATTTTGCTGGTTTTTACCAGCTTATTTTCTAGCCATATCCGGGATCTATACATTCCTATAAATGCATATATGATTTAAATTTCATGTCTTCATGTTTTCATTATAATTTGATGCTTTCGGTTTTGCTTTCGATTTTATGATTCTGATGCTTTCGGGATGAAGGATGAAAGATTATTAGTTTGAGAGAAGGTAATTTTTCTGCAGTAGCAACTAGCAATCTGAAATTAAGCCAGATTTCACTCTGAAACATTGACTTCCTAAAGCATTGTCATTTCCTTGAGTTTATCTCGGTTTGTTTCCTGAGATAATTTGAGATTATGATTTTGTTAACTGACAGGTGAACTTCGTAGAATTCTGTCTGCCAGTGTGATGACTTATTGGTAACGATCGCGGGGTTCAGCCTTTTATTTTCCTGTACATTCTGTAAAATTCTCTTCATCTAGAGTGAGTGTTTGTATTGTTGTGTATTGCTTATTGTTTGTTAAAGTTCGCTAGTTATTTCATCATTTGTAAGTTGTTCATTTTTCCTACTGAAGGGGTTGATATCAATGATGGAGAACATGAATGTAAGTTATGTTGAACTGTAATTACCGGAAATTTTGAAATACTGTAAGTTGAAAAGGTCGTTTTGCACATGTAGCGAATCAAGTCCATTGAATGTATAGGGAAAGCTGTTTTGGGAAGAAGAGGAGGGGAAAGACGGGGATTCCTCACAGAAATCAATGAAGAAGGAAATGGAAGTATAAGGCTTCTATCTCTGAAAATGATTCTTCTATTAGAATGATATCAAAATGATTTGTGCTTCCAAAGAAAGCATTACTATTTTCACTGTAATTCATTTGTGTTTGTCTCAGCTGCTATCGTTTAGGATAGGTTGATGGTCGTTAACTTGGTTTGTCTCACTTTTCCTCTTTATGAATTGTGTTATCGTTATGTAAAGTTAGTGGAGAAGTCTTACCTGCATATATGTTTATTTGTTGAATATGGTTCGTAGTATTAGGAAGAGGTTTATCACTGTCGTGTTTATCTCAATCAGAGCCCCAACAAACATCATTCCTGAGGTGGTGTTGGTCGTTACCTGTTGCAGAGTCAACATGTTTATTATTTGCTGTTCATAGCAAACAATTCCGAAGAAATTTATTCGTGATTGAAATGATTGACAGTTTATACTTGCATTGTACTGTAAATTTTTTTTGTTGATTAAGAATGGTTTTTAGAGTGTGTCACTTGTTTACAGCTAAGTCATTCCATTTGAGCCGACCACTTTTAAAAATGCAAATTGGGTATCTTAATAGTTTCATATTATTATGACAGGACAGGGCGCATTTGTAGATAATCCTTCCGCAGGAGAGGAATAAATCTTCATTATGTTGAAAGAGAAAAGGGTGCCACGAGCCGGGATCGAACCGGCGACCTTTAGATCTTCAGTCTACTTTCCCGACTGAGCCGCCATGACGACGGCGGGTTCACCCATGCATTGCTAACAAGTATCAGTACTGATAATAATATGATAATAATTAAGATTAATAGCAGGGTAGTGGTTAATAATAATAATAAACAGTAATAAAATTTTCAGCCAGCCTATGTTGGACTTTTTTAATTCATAACTCTCAGATCATATTTTTTATTTCTAAATAGATAATTGGAATAAAGTTTTATCATTCCATTTATTTCGGCTTCTCATGGAATGCGACGATCGTTTTCACCAGTCAGGAGTATTGCATGCAACACGTAAGATTTAAAATACATATAAGCTTATAATCCGAGTTATATTTATCCCGAATTCTATTTTGGGTATGAAATCGAGCTAATGTCCATCTGCGACAGGTAGTATGAACTGGAAGCATGTCGACTGACAAGAAAATATTAAAATCATTTAAGTTGTTCTACTGACTTCGTAGAGATACATACTTCAGCTATTGTAATGCAAATTTTCAGTGTAAGCAGGATTTCACTGCATAAAAACCTTTTTTTCCTTAATTGAACTTCGCATGAATTTGTAATTTAAGCGGTCTGCTGTCTCCTACTCCTTCAGTATATCCCTTAACAGATAAGGAAATAGTGAGCGAGTTTTAGAAGTCCTACAAATCTTTAAGTTTGGTAGTGGCCATCATGGTCGAAAATTCAACAAAGAATTTTTACAAACTCATTTTTTAACCAAATGTTTTCACAGTTCGTCGATCTTCATTAATTATTTTTATTTGGAAATAATTTAGTAATATTTGGAATATATATATTTATTTATTTATTTGCTATTTTCTACTATATATATATATATATATTATTTATTTACTACTTTCAGACTGAATTTGACACAGATGGCTGCAAAAATAGATTCACTGAAAAAGTGGACCGTTTCGACTTACAAAACGACAAAACAGTCAATATGTGAAAATTTAGGAAGAGTTAAGAAATTTTTGAAGTTTCTCTTTAATAAAATTTCATCTGTTTTGCTTGAACTTTTGTTATATATTTTATTTTCTTCCCTCCTCACTAGGTTCATCTCTGTTTTCTATTTATGTTGTGGTGTTAATTCATTCTTTTCGCCATTTTTGAAGGTATTAAAATTAATGTTGAATTTATATGTATTTTAATGTTATTTGGTCTGATAATAATAATATCTAGGTAGAACGCACAGTTGACAAGGAATTAGAAGAACAAATCGAACAACTGAAAATATTGCACAAGTATTACAACCAGGTTTGCTTCTTAATTTGCTATTGGTTGCTTAGTTTTTTTTTTTTTTTTTGTTGATTATTATTTTATTTTATTTGTTTATCTTTTTAAAAAGCGGATTTTAATTTGCTTCAGGTGTTAACAATGTCAAAATTATTCATGTCAAATTTTCATCAAATGAATGAAGCACAAAAAAGTTTAGCGGAATCTCTTTATCAACTCTCACTGAAAGAAATGAGTTTGAAAGTAAGTACTTGTCTTAAAAAATTCTTCGAACTCATTATAGATGCTTCGAAAAATCTTTTCCTTATAAGCAGTTTTTTTTATTTTTAGCAACAAAAGCTGATTGATTATGATTTCTTTGAAAACTTTTATTTGGAGCTATCAAATTCCACTTTTCATGTGTGTGAAATCTTGCTTTCTAGTGATGCTATTCAAACTCTAGTAGTAGTTGAAATTGCAGCAAATTGTAATAATACATTTTTTGTAAACTTTTTAGGCAGAGTGTTCTTCGAACTGTGATTCGCTGCGTTCGGTAGCACATAACGGTGAACTTCTAGAACGAGCTTTGTCGTTTTTTCTTTCATCAATTAAGACATTATCCGAGAAAACTTTTGAAGATATTATGGAAACAATTCATAATTATGACCAGGTTGTTCTCATTAACTCCAATCAAATCAATGCTAAGATCCCGGTGTTTTTCGATGCTTTTAGACAAAAAGCTCCATTCGAATTTAAGCTGCCTCTATGGTTTTAACTTAACATAGTGTTCTTTATAGTGGAATTTTCAGAAATTTCTTAAATTTATTTCTTAGATGATAATGTTGTGTAGAATCCAAGTGTAACAAGTTGTGAAAAAGGTAGTGCAAAAGCCGAAATAAAAAATTTTCACCTGTCACGATACCTTTAGGCTCGTTTGGAATATGACGTGCATCGCAATGAAATAGTGGCGCTACAGCACTCAAATGCAAGTCCTGAAGCAATCGCAGGCGCAGATTTCAGATGTAATCAGCATCGAAGAAAATACGAACAACTAAAAGCTGACGTTAAGGTCCTTTTTGCTTTTTTAGTTCATTTTTCACCAAAGTAGAGCAAGTTGTTATTGTTGTCGGAATTCTACAACGTCAGCAATAATCTTATTGTTCTTTTCTGACTCGCGTGATAATAGGGAGAAATGGACAAAGCGAATATTAAATAGTATCAACAGTGCATTAAATGCTTACAAAGTGTTCGTACTTGCTATAGTCGCCGCTGCACCATCGTTTGTTGAAAGTGAATTGTGTAAACGCTGAAATGATCCAAATCGAAGCTTCAATCCAAATACCAAATAATAGTTTTAACTTCTCATATATAGTAGTTGTTGGCTTACAACAACATATGATCACACTGAGTAAAGAGCTATCACTCACAGTTCATCTTTATCTTTACACAGTGAGAGTCCGTTTAGAACATTATTCAGTTACTTGTAAGAGTGACTGTTAGATTGGAAGACCTCTACAATATTCCAACATTACATGGTTTAAAGGGAGTTAACTGATTTTTTAGCAATCGAATGTAAGTTTGGCTGTCGACTGGAACGCTTTCACAACAAAAGTGGTGGCAATTTTGAACATATTACGCAATACATTTTTCATTAACAGATTATAACATTCTAGACAATGCACATAGAAGCTAGCTACAATTGGAAGATGTTTAAATAAACAGTATTTAGTCTACATTAATGCAAATTCCTTTGACATAAATTTATTTTGGTTTTTTATATAAAAGTCCAGGTTCATCAAAGTACGTTTGTTTTGATAAGTAATGGCTATAGGTAGAACCAAAAAAAGCTTTTTCCTAAACGAAAATAAAATGCATTCTACATTTAGGTTCTGTTTTTTAGGTTAAGCTGAGATTACTAGAAGAGAATCGATGGAAAGTAATGCGTAAGCAGTTGTTACTTCTTCATAATGCCTTGATTGCGTATTCTTCAGGTACAATTTATCTGCTCTATTTACACAGAGTGAGTAAAATTAGAATTATATCGAGGACATAAATCAATTTGATTATATATAGATTTTAATTAGTTTTTTTTTCTTTAAATTAGTAGCTGCTTCTGTACTAAAGCTGAGCGAAAAACTTCCAATGGTACATTTAGGCAATGCGAAGGCCTTGCATTCAGCAGTGGAAAATTTAAATTTGGGCGAGACAGCAAATGAAGATTTTGCTTCCTCATTTTTGGAGCAATGAAACAATTATTCAATATAAAGGAGTTTTAGTCCTGTAATGCCTGAGTTCAAATTCATCTCATTAAACGCTTTAATAACTTGCACATGACTGCAATTCACTTTCTGTTAATGAAGTTTACTTTTCATTGCCAAATCTTTTTTGGCATTTATGTTGAGGCATCTTTATTAGATCTTTTATAATAAATTATAAAGAGGCATTGGAGGTGTAAAATACTTTAAATTATCTGTCATTACTGAAAAAGTAAGGAAAGTGCCTCGGACCGTCTTTGAGACACTGATAATAGGAAAAATAGGTAATCATAACTACTGAAGTATTTCCAAAAATTTTTTTACCATAACTTATCTACCTTCAACATTAAGAATACAATTTTTTTTTTTACTTTTTAATGTTTTCCTGCAATTGTTTACACATAGCGATCAGCGCAAACAGTCGGCAAGTTAAAGACGGTTTAGCTACGTCAGTCTTTCCACCGGATTTATAAACTGGAAAAAAATAAACTTAACAATTATATGCTTCAACGTAGGAGTCTGCGTAATGGTTGCAGTTTACTTACTTTTCATTAATAGAGTAGAATTGTGGCTATAGTTGAATTATGCGTTAATCTTGACTAGATATTAACTGCTGTTTTTGTTTTGCACATATTTATTCCTCTCTTTCGATCAGTTCGGTCTCCTTCTTCACCTGTCAGCTGTCGTTTTCGAGATACTGTTTGTACGAAGATTTCGGGAGGAGCTTAGCAAAGAGGCACTCTTGGACCAGTTTATGATGGAACAGATGTTTTGAATCTTCATAATAAGATTTGTGGTAAGGAAGTACAACTAAGCTGTGAAGAGTGTTTTTTTGGAAGCGAGCACTTTGCTGTTTCAACTTTGATATTTCGGCAAGTTTTTTTGGCCATTTTCAGAATTTTTTGAAAAAACGGCTTAGACGTGCTTATGCCTCATGAATTTTAAAGTTGCATCTTAAATGATAATTTCATTGTTATTTATATTCATTGTGAACACTGTTTCACATAAAATCAAAATGAGCACTTTGTTGTTCATTGTTTCCCTTTTAGCTTTACACTACCGAAATTAATGAGAAACAAGAATTTGGGAATTGAAGGAAAGTACGAAGACGAGGATTCATATGATGATGAGCAGATTTACATACGAGAAATAAGGGAACACATTCCAAAGAAATCAATTTATGATTTATTTCACCAATAAATGAATCAATAACTAATGCAATACATTAGCGTTCAGAAAGAGCAGGGATCATATGTCGATAAAGTATAGTAGAAATGGGCTCGATCTTTTGGAAATATGCGTGTGTATCCTGTACTTGTAGACGTTAAATTAAAAAACGGTGACAATGCAGCAATGCAAGTAATTGACTATGTATTAAGTTCAGTTCCCAACTAGCTTCATACTATAATCGATTGCAAAGTTGCAAGATATGCAAACATTTCCAGCACAGCTTTGTAATAATGGTCGGAATCGGCAGTTAATCTTCGTTGCTACATCGATGATGCTCTTGCTGAAATTTTTTTAGATCTGTGAATGCTTCCTC